TAAACAAACATATTTACTCGCCTGGGTCAATGGGATTTTCTCCCATTGAAATGCAAAGGGCCACTCTTTGGAATTATCCAAAAACAAACAAAGCTATTTTAACCATGTTAGCTGCTATTGCTCAGTAAAGGTAAATCAGTTACTAACCTGCCCTCTGCTTCTTGCTACGCTTCAGCCAACCCCCTTTCCCCCCCAAAAAAATCCCATTTCAGTTCAGACCAGGCTGACCACAAAATGCAAAAGACAACAGGACCGTGCAGAAAAAGGAATTTCCAGAAGTTGTACAGAAAAGGGTATTTTGATAAGTGAAACTTCCTGTTTTACTCAACTATGAAAGGTATCGGAGCCTTGCTAATTTTTGCATCCTCTGGCCATCCTAGTCCAGAGCTCTTTCACAGTAAATTAGAGCTGAGGCAGTTACTTAAAATGATGTTGATTGGAAGTTATGGGTCCATAGAATTTCACTGATAGAAAAGAAACCCACAAAGTTTTTCTGGCAATTTTTCAAGTTCCAGGGAAGTCTTTCAGTACTGGATGCAGATTTGCTCACCATTACCAACACCTCCATTTTGAGAAGGCCAATGTCAGCTCTTCAGGATAACAAATTAGCAAAGCCCCATAGGGTTGTGATGGCTACATGTTGTCTCCTGCAAGATCACATGCTAGAAACATGGGAGATTGCTATGGCCCTGATGTCCTGCCTGTTTGCTTTCCACAGATATCTGATTTGCCACAGGGGGAATAGAACGCTTGTCTACATAATCCTTCAACTTGATCTGGCAGGGCTGTTTTAATACTCTTAAATAAGGCTCACTGAGAGCACTGGGACTTATTTTCTGTTAGGTTTGTTGAGCAGCTTCCAGGTGTACAGGGCCGTATCTTTCCTCATCCTTCACAAATTCCTCAGATTAGTCCACCCCCTTTTCTCATCAACTGGCAGTTACAGTCTCAGTAACTCACTCTGAGACATTAGTAGCAGAAAGAATGAAAAGTTCCATCCTCAGCTAGCATGGTTAGTGGGATAATGGGTTTAAATCCAATGCATCTGGAGTGTCAGGTTGGGACAGGCTCATATAAGATAGCAGCTTAACTCTCTCTATAGGTCCAGAGAGGAAATGACCTGTTAAGACTTGAGGTCTATCATGTTTTGGTTAAAAAAAATAATGGGGGGGGGAGAGTGTACTCCAGCCAGAGGTAAGCTTATAATCTACTACTGACACTGATCAGAAATCAAAATATTGAACTTTGGTTGGATCATAGCTAGCACAATTGTTTATCCAGAGGTGGCCGAAGACATTTGGTGAAGCAGAAAAGCATATTCTGTCAAATACACCTCCTGGTAATTATAGGGTTTATGGCCTGACTGTAGGAAAGAGAATATACAATACAGTGACATTGAATATCTAATAAAAACTGTGGACTACCTGTTAACCTACTCCCATATAGATAATGATTTTAAACATGCATCAAAGGAGCTTGGGTTTCTTTTGCTTAGTGCTTCTCCTTCTATCCTTCCCAGTTTCAGCACTATTGAAACTGTTGCCCAGTTTATACAGCTGAGCCACAATCTTTCCAAAGACATTTACTACTAATCTTTCCAATATGTTTGTGTTTTATCATAGTATCCCTTCAAGAAATTAGAAGAAAATTTGCAGAATGTTCTCCAAATATTGGCTATTCCATTCATAGCTTCCCAGTCCCCCTTTCCTGCTCCTTGTTGTCCACGTATAATTTTGGAACATAATGGGAGATTACAAAATAGTGGCCAACTTGCCAACTAGGAAGGGAGGGAGGGAGGGTGGGAGTTGTTGTTCTACAACTATTAATAAGGGTGAACCCTCACACTTAAGAACAGCAGAGAATTTCCACATCTTCTGAAGAAAAGTGGTGAAACGGTTCTCCCCAGTTTCTCTACCCAAAAATAGTGTGGATGATTTTGAGAGGTGATTTGCAGATAGTTCTGCTTTATATTTAGCATTTACTGGTGCAAAGTACACATTTTAACCACATTATTCACCTTGACCCCTCTCGGACATGCAGAACAAGTGCCCAGCCTGGGTCTTACATCTGAAAAGATTAATATGACTGTTTTGTTTTCTAGAGACATTCTAGGTAGCCTAGTGCTTGCTGAGCGATGTTGATTTGTGCTGGGCTTGATCAATGAAAGCTCAGAACACATCTTCAAAGAGAGTATGCAAATAACCAAAGCCATGAAGACCAAAGACAGGTATCTTTTCCTCCTCGGTGATTCCCTGGCTTTTGCCAAACTAAAGCAAGGGTATAAATGTAATCTTTTAGGTTACGCCCACTTCACTGACTTCAGGCTTACATGCATGAAAGATTCTCTGCCTCCCACTCAGGCTGGCCTGTCCAGAATTTGTATACAATAAACAAATTAGATTACTATTGAATCCCTGCAGATACATTAGATTTAATAACTACATATCACTTTCAGTTTGAATTAAGACATCTTCTTATCAAATTAAACATAACTCTATTGTCAGCAAAGCTGCTAGCTTTCAAAATAATGTTTTAATAGCTTCATATTGTAAAGCATCTCTTCACATTTAGCTTCTTCCAACATGGCAGATGCTAGAATTGAGAGAAAACATCTCAGAATATTTTGTTCTGAGTTTTCTTCCTCAAGAAAAAGAAGGTAATTTCACAGAATGTGTACAAATACTTCTCATCATATTTTGTAGTGGCTTCTCTCTCCATCTCTCTGGAGCCATAGTAGGTCCATGGAATTGTGGAAGATCAGAGTAAGCAGCAGGCCAAGACAAGAGGGCTGCTGCCAGTTCCGTCAAGCTTTCCAGCACAATTGGGCACCATGTGCCACTCCATACGTTTTTGGACTACAACTCCCTCTGTACTCAGTGGTGCTACGAGAGTAACATCATTGCCCATCCCTCCTTTACAGAAAGGGTCTGCAAAGTGATCAGGGAACTGGAGGACCTTTGTTTGGAGCGTTTTAGCTTATGAAAAAAAAAGGTGAGAAGTGAGGAGAAAAGCAAATGAGATTATGCATGATACAGAAAAAAAGGATAGACTTTCTCTTCATACTAGAACAGAGATGGGCAGCAGAAAAAAAGGATAGACTTTTTGTTAGCCTTATTATCTTTGTTTTGTTTAAGCACAAGAGTGGTATCTTCCTGAATAAAGGATAACTAAGGGTTCAGTTACATGTTGAAATACTCCTGGGTTTGCATCAGGTTTAGCACACATGAAATCAGCTAAGCATGCAAATTTTTTTTGGCTGGGAAGCTTGGTTTTTTGTTCAGAAAGTGAAGTATTTTAAACAACCAGGAGTTGGGGTGTTTAATTTAACTCAGTTGTGAATGTGATTTATTTTGAATTGTTTTGGCTCATGTGCTTGCCTGTGTCAGAGCCTCTTTGCGCTCTCCTGCCCTTCATTCCTCCTGATCGCAAATCAAAACTGGAGGAATGAGAAAAAGATTGGCTTGTGCCACAAGGCAAACATGGAGTATAGCTTAGGTTTTTAAGAAATCAGAAAAGAGAACCAGCAGAGAGAAGAACACTGGCAAGGGAAAGCACGCCCTCCTTCACAGGCCTAGATGCTGCCAGGCCTAACAAATTTTTTGGTCAATTTCTCTTTAACACTCACTGATATGCCTTTCCTCTTGCCAGTCCCTGTTCCTCCCTCTCCTTCTCCACCCTGTGTGTGCGTTTGTCTCTGTGTGTATATCTCCATTTTTTCTATCTGTAATACCGGACAAGAGCTGTCTAAATTTGAAAAAAATAAAAATTAAAACAAGTATTAAAAATAACACCACAGCAGCAGTGGTGAGTGGTTATGAGAGACAATAGCACAAGGACAGGTGGGCACGTGGCTCAGGTGGCCTCAGATGCAACAATTTTTAAAGCCTGTGTAGTGTCCTTGACCAATACACAACACAGTTTAAAAACAAATTAAAAGTTTTCCCCAGAGGATGCAGACATCAACCCAAAAATCACATGGCTACCGCATGACTTTAAACCAATTTCAAAGTGCCTGATCCATCTCCCGATTCCCAACCTCATAGTATAATCATGCCCTAAGTTGGTGTATTTGGGGAAGAGAAAGCAACACAAGTCCTCCCAAATTACCCCAGCACAAAACTTATGACTTAACCTGAGATCTTTTCCCACGCAAACCCAATCTCTAAACCACTTTGTTTCCATCTTAAACCTTCTTCCTGTTCTGCAAAGTTGAACTCTTAGTCCATGGAAAACCTTCTAGAGCTGCAAACCAGAACAGACTTCAGTTTAAAGCTTCCAAGGCTTTAAACAGGTTGTTCTTCCTAATCATTTCATAGAGATGTGATTGGAAAGAACTATAGAGCTGGAAGGGCCCCTATAGATCCTTGAGTCCAGCCCGTGTCAAGGAGCCATAGTGGGAAATCAAATTCCCAACCAATACCTAAACCACAGAGCCACTGAAGGCATAACAAATTCTGTGGTCAGATACTGGGACTCTAAACCAGAGTTTTTTCTTTCTTGACAGTAGGAAATGTCCTTCCAGGCACATTACAACTTTGTGTTTCCAAGCCTCCTGAAGACACCCTTCTAGGGCTGTTTGTGAACAAGTATCATTAAGCTTGTTAATATCTTTGTTTGTGTCCTACAAACTGTTGTGGAAAGTATGGCCTGTTCTGCATTTACTCCCAGGCTAGTGCAGGAACACATCTTCTTCATGTCCTTTCAGCATCTGTGTAAAGTTTTTAATCCCAGTAGGTAAATAGCCGGAGCCAAGATTGAGGATGTACTAGAACAGAAATCCCATTGTACCTCAGTGTTTGAAGCAATGATTTTTTAAAATTTGAAATAATAGAAAGGAGGGGATGTATGCATGAAATAAATGGGACTAAAGCACAAAGCACATTATTGCACTGTGTTAACAATTTTTTGGATCAAGACAGTGACCTAGGAAGTACTAAGATGAATGAGTAAAAGACCAAGAAAATATAAAACTCATAATGAAAAGTACACCTTGTGCCGGCTGATCATTGATTTAAAAAAAATGGGGAAAGAAATGCAGAAAAAAAAGAGAACTTCACAGCTGAATAATGTTGGCGATCAATGTGGTTGGAGATCATTATACATTATGACAGATGCTGCTACATCTGAAGTCACTCCGGTCCAGATGACATTCAGCCTCAATCAGAAAAGGAACAAGAGCTAGAAGGAAAACACTTTCAGCACTCTGTGCCAACATCTTTGCTTACCCACTGCTGCAGTTACCTTGAATGATGGCATCATACAGCCAGATTAGACAGAGTATGCGATGTCTTGTCCACTGTGGGATCTCTAACTCTGTGAAATCACAAGTCGAGGCACAGCAAAGTCTATGCAAGAAGTTCATTGCACAAAGTGGTACCCGTGCAGAACTTCCCTAAGGGCTTCCCAGGGAGTGTCACCCTTTGATGGTGAACCTACTGTCCCAGGGAAGCCGTTTTCATTAAAATTGCCAGCTCAGCACTGAGCCGACAGAAGACCAGCTCTCTGGGGCAGCTGCCACAGCTTCTGTGCAGGCAAGTTGTGCCAGTGTGGAATGGGTGTGTTGTGCCACCTGGTGCTGCGTCTTGGCCAGCTTTGACCCAGGGATTCAGCTGGAACCAAGGGAGAATATAAGGTTTCTTCTTCTGCTTCTTTCTGTACAATGAAGGAGACAGTAAAGAAAAACTATACATTATTTATTTGCTCTTTTCTAAATAAAGCAACAGTATGATTCATTTCCATACAGAGCTTCCCCTCCTCGGGAGTTAAATGTTGAAAAAGCCCCAGAAGAATAGCTTTACCACAGTTGGTTAACTGCAGAATTTCCTCAAACTCTGTTTACAACAAAGTGAAGAACTTCTGACTTTAAACGTACAGTATATAGCAAAGCTATCTGCAAAAAATATTATAGAATTGTGTGGGTGGCAAAGAGATCATTTAATCAATCTTATCTTTTAATACAGTATTTTCACCAGCAGAAGTACACTGACATCAAAGACTAGTATTTCACAATGGCATCACGTTCAGCCATACTCAGCAAAGGCCTCTGACTTGAAAATCACTATTTATTCTCCTTATTTAGCTGAAATCACCAAATCCGCTAGGGTTTCTCACACATTTTCAGAATTATGTAAAAATGTCCTAAATTTGAACTATTTAAATAAATGAGAACTCTAATATTGGAAAAAGCCAAAACATCACCCAGTTCCATTTCTAAAAATGCATGGTCTCTGGATATCACTCATAGAGAGGTTACCAAAATCAGGGTACATGTGCAGCAGCAAAGACAAATACTTCAGATGATTTAAATGAGCAAGCTTAGAAAAATGACATTTTTGTACTGAAATGCCTGGTATCCCCAGCTAGTATGGCCAGCTGGATCCTGGAAGTTGTAGTAACTTTCTACTTATAGTTAATGTGAAAACACCAGATAGAATAAGTTACATTTGTGGACTGTAACTCACAGAATACCCAATTCAGCATGGCCACATTGTAGTCAAAAAAAAACCTTGACATTTCCCATCTCAGGAAAACATTTCTAAATTTGGGGCATTTCCAGGAAGCCTAGATTCCCAGCATAGCGCCGTGGACAGAGTGATGGGCTACAACTCTAGAGCAATAATGTAGCATTGGGGGGGGCACAGGGGCAGTCTCCCCAAGTGCATAATTTTTAGGAGCCGCAAAGTACCTTCTCCTTGGGGGCGGCAGTGGCCATCTTCAGAGGCAGGAGACTGAGCTTCCCTTCCAGGAGCCAAGGGCCTGCTGCCTCCGCCACTCACCCACTGCCCAGCTGACAGGCAGGCCTGCAGAGAGGCAGGGGCCACTGGGGAAGGGCAGTCTCAGGAGCAGGGAGGGGTGGGTAGGGAA